GGATCCCGTCGGGAGGCGGGGACTGGCCTGTGGAGGGAGCGGATTTCTCTGGCTCGGCCCCTTCTTCCTCCTCCCCACCCCTTTCTTTATGTCATCCTGCTGGCTGGGGCGCGCAGTCCAGTTTTCCTTGCTCGGGGCTGGTTCTGAGCTGGGAGGACTATGGGAAGGAGGGGGAGGGGGCGCGACTCGGGCCGTCGAGTTGGGAGCTCGCAGCCCCAGCGCCTGGAACGCGACCCAGCAGTTACGTGCGCTGTAGGGTCGTTGTCTGCCTTCTCGCCTGGACAGTGAGCTCATTCATTCATTCATTCATTCCTTTCCTCACTCCTGTCACCGTTCATTTTTCCGTTTAACACATGTTTACAGCGGGTCTGCTCTCTGCTGAGCAGCTATTGTGCAAGCCCCCGGTGCAGTGTCTTTTTTGTCCTCTAGACGAGGACGAAATTCCCAGTACGAAGGAAGCACCTAAATTTTTGGTAAATGGTTGCTTAATGACTTCAGGATCTTAAATTCATGTTTCCTTGTGAAGACTGGAGGAGAGCGTTCTTTATCAAGTTCCGCTGACCCGAGTAGCATGCTAGAAGCTTTACATATTTTATCTCATGCAACTCATAAGTGAGGAAGCCGGCAGAAGTCAAGTAGCTTGCCCAAGGTTATGCAGGTAGTAGCGCCTGTTTATTAAATTCAATGCCAGCCCCTATGAAATTACTGTACATACACTGTTCTTTAATACACATAACAAACGGGGTGATATTACCTCCGTTTTATAGATGTCTAAAACTTAAGCTCAGAGAGGCCAATTTTCCCAGGGCCATAGAATCAGTAAGTTGAAAAGCCGGGACGAGAGACCTAGAGGTGTCTGGCTCCAAAGCCTGTAGGCTCTTCCACTGTCATAGGCTTGAACAGTCAGCCCCCAAGTGGTTTAATTTTTGATTTGTCAGAAGTTGGAAAGCGTGGTGGTGAAAAAGGATCGTGAGGTATCTTTTGGTTTCACTTCTAGGTCTGTGGATGATCTCCAGGTGAGTGGCCTTTTGAAGGAATGTACCTTAATAATTTGATAATCTGTTTTTTGTTCTGGTAGGGAGGACAAGCTCTTTGGGGCTACCAAACAGGAACAGCAATGCCTGTTGTGTGGCCAACCCTTTTGGATCTCAGCAGGGATGAATGCAAAAGGATTCTTCGAAAATTGGGTATGATTTTCATTTTAGTTTTTTTTTTTAACTTTCTTTGATACTTTTCCCTTTCTGTTTGGGTCGTGGCTGCTCGCATGGATGTCATATCTCATACTATGTCAGAAATTCTTTGGAAATATAGTCCCCCATCTTACTTGTTGTTTCCCTAGTGCCTAGCGCCGGGCTTTGTACATGTTAGGTATATAAATCATAATAATAGTAGTAGCAAAGAGTTATTGAGGGCTACTCGGCTATTCCGAGTCTTTTACATCCAATGTCTCATTTAAGTATTTTAAAAATTAGCTTTATCCTTTTAAAACCTAAAAGGTAGGGAGTATTTTTGGTCCGCATTACAGTTGAAGTTTAGAAGTCAAGGTAATGCTGATTGTAAGTTGTGGAGTCAGTATTTGAACCCAGGGAACGTGATTTCAGTCTCACTTTAGCCTACTCTTAATCTTCTTGAATGAATTTGTGAATTACATACTAAGTTAATGTAAGCTGTACTCACTTTCCCAAATTATATTTGACTATCGGTAATAAACTTTATGCTTGTAATTTTTTATTTAGTGCTAATTTTCCTTACAGCATCCTTTCTCAACCAGCATTTAGGGAAAGAATTAAGCCCTAATGCTAATGTGTGTAATGAACCAACTTCTCTCCGTGCGTCTAGAATGGTATTACATACTGTTTTTGGGAAAATTGAGAAAAAGAGTTGTCACTCAAATCATTTTCTGTGTTTTGCAGTTCAAATGAGAATCCTTGGTAGAGAAATGCTGCCTTAGACTGTAAGGACCTTTTTTTATTTACCTCTGTAGTCTCTGACTAGCACAATAAATGAAAAAATAATTTGAAAAAGAATATTAAATGTTTGGCAGTGGATATGAATTATTTAGATAGCTATGATTCTTCTTATTTTTATTTTTTAAATTTTATTTTGTTATAGGAGTGTAGCATACAAGAGAGGATTAACTACATAAGTAGGCTACATGCAGGTGAAGCTTGGGCTTCTAACTGGCCCTCACTCCACTTGGTGATGAACCATGTACACTTTGTATTGTTACATGCCCTCTACCTGTTAGCTATGATTTAAAAGTAGAATGTTTGAGTTTGAATTCCAACAGACCTGAGGTCTTGGTACTATTACTAATGACCCAGGTGACCAAGGACAGGTTATTTAATCTTTCTATGTCTGTTAACTTTTGTTAAATAAATGGTAACATTTATGGAATACTATGTTAGTTAACAAATCAGTATTGTGTATATCTATCTATCTATCTACAGATAGATATACCTTCGTGCCTTGTTGGATTTTAATCACTTTGAGGATAGGGAGTTTGCTCTTATTCTCCATGGTACCTTATAGTAGTATTGTTTAGTAAGCAGTTCGACTTGAATTAATGACTCTCCAAGTACAGACATGTTTTTACTTCCATTAGGGTAAAACCCTCAAACATAGTCACGGTTACTAGAAGTACTGCAATAATATGAAACATTATCTGCTCTTTTCCTGTATTTCTTTTGTATATTTGCATCTCCCCCAACACAATTCTCACAATTTAGTTTGTTATATGTATTAATGGTATAGGTATGTAAGGGAACTATCATGGTACCTGACTTCTGAGTTTTCAAGTAGTGTTTCCATAGTGTTTCAAGTAGCTGCTTTTAGACATTTATTTATTTATTTGCAGCTGAATCTTTTCTTCAAAGGAAATCTTTTTTTGTGAATTCTTATGTGTAAATCAGAATCATAGCTGCTCTAGCCCTGTTTGCTCGTTTTATTCTCACCTACCAGTCCACTATGAGGATTTCAGATTCAAGAGTTGTTTTTAGGGGGTTGGTGTAGGGATGTTAATCATTCCTTTCCCTTTTTTATTTTTTAACCTTATATTCAAACTTTTTTTTGTTGTTTTTTGTTTTTTTTTGAGTTGGAGTCTCACTCGGTCGCCCAGACTGGAGTGCAGTGGCTGCTCCCGGCCACCGCAGCCTTGACC